CCCCCCCGCTACACCCTTCCAATTACAACCCTCCTCCTTTTGCTCCTCATCCCCCACTTCTCTCCCTCTTCTCTTGTAGTAATCTACGAGGTACTTCTACATTGCAAGCAATTATAGCACAGCTTCCTAGCTTCCTAAGGCTTCAAATCGATTTTTTATTTAAGCCCAAAGTACAAAAGAAAAAGCACCAATTCTATTGTACGAAATTAGGAAATACATTTAAAATCACTACAAATGTGGTTACTAGACGTGATCCTTTTTGTTGTAGAAACATACGATTTTTAACCTTACATGTCTCTGATAATACAAGAAAAAATTAAAAGAAAATTTTAAAAGCCTTTTTTTGTGTTTTAGAGAGAGAAAATTGTGATAATAGTATATAATATTTATGCAAAGTATAAAAAAAATAACAAAAAAGCACGTGTAATGTCAATGTGTATTCCTCTGTAACAACGTTAACGCTGTCCGAGGCTCTCATCTGTTATGAATATTTGATGCGGATTACCCACTCTAGTATGATTTACGAGGGCAGGTTAACATGTTCAGACAATGCTTTTATAAATATTCTTCTCTAATTTGTCTACTCTGCTTTGTATCTATATGTACATTGATTTCTAGTCGAAGTATTTCTCCATCTTTTGAATAATAAATTGATCTATATATATACACGCACGAAAGTAGTTATTTTGAGGATTAAAAACACATGAACCCTAGTACTGGTAACCTCACATTTGTCTTCGTTCTATAAGAACAATCGAAGCATCTGGTTCAGTTTTCCGGTTTTTCAGGGGTTTTTATATTTATTTTTCTCTCACCATTATGTGTCCATAAATGTCTGTCTGTTTGTTTATTTTATTTTATTTATTGGGAATATTTTATTCTTGAACCCTTTCTCTTGTACGTATAGTCAGGGACTTAGATAACATCTAATCTAATTCCGTGGTATAGTATAATACGTATATATGTAAGTACTATAGCCTCGATCGTCTGTTAAATATATTTATCATTGTTATGTAAACGAGTGGACGGGATGTCCGTGTCTTGTCTCGCACGTGCAGCTACTAGTGCACGTGGGACAGGTATGCTTGGGACAGTAGCGACACGTACAGGTGTCTGTGTTCGCCTAGCTGTCGATCAGTCCGGACGTACTTGTTATCGCTGATATGACCGAGTTAAATACCGAGGGGGATAGTATTGGTCCTACGGATAGTGTTCCGGCCCCAAAACCAGTTAGTTCTAATAACGACGCCTTCCAGGCTTTGGACTTATTTACTACCTACCTTGACGCAAAATTGAAAGGTCTACGGGACGATATAAGGGAGGAACATGACTTGTCCGCTAACTCCTTCAAACGTTTGAAAAAAGAAAGAGAAGTGA